TAGGTAAAGGATAAAAATAACAAATGCAAAGAAAAGAAAGCATATAATAGAAACAGGAAAAGATGCTCACCCTTGTTCTTGGTTACAGACACTGTTTTTTGTCTAGTAGTACTGGTAAGAATGGAAGACATTCAGTATTCATATACTTGTGAGAGGAATCTTGAGTTATTTTAACCTTTTGGAACTTAATCTGACAAATACATTTTTTAAAACAATTATTTAATTTTATTTATTATAATTTTTTATTTTTAAATTTGACCAAAGAGAGAAAGTGAGAAAGCAAGCTGCTAGGTCTGGGTTGAACTGCGGTCAGCCATGTGGAAGTCCAATGCCTTAACCACCAAGCCACTTGGCGGCCCTGACCATGTCTGTTAAACATACGTGGGCTAACTCCGTAACACAGGGATTAAGGGAGCTAGATCCCACAAGACTGGGCTGTGATTTGAATCCTGGCCCTGGCAGTTTGAAAAACATGATGGGTACATGTTTGTACATGCCCCAGATTGTGAAAGGAATGGAAGAAAAAGGATTGCAGTGTGACCACACTCTGTGTGACCCATTGGGAGGTTCTCTCTCTCTCTCTGTCTCTCTCTCTCTCTCTGTCTCATTAGTACACTTGCCCTCAGACAGCAAAATAAATAAATAGATAGGTATGTGTGTGTTTCCTTTTTTGGGTCAGTTTTGGAAATATAGGTACCAGTAGATAAAGATATGCTTAAGAGTGGTTTTTTAAGCAAAAGTAGCAAAAAATGTTAAAGTCTTACAAGAGGAAGTGTGCATACAAAGTATGTGATACTGTGCAATTGATTTGAGATAGGTCTGTGTAATGAGCAGGAAGGGTTTCCATAATGGATTAAGTAAAAATAAAGCTTTTATCTTTTTAAGAAACTGCAAATTATTTCCCAGAGTACTTTACAATTTTATATACCCACTAGCAATGTACAGTAATTTCAGGCCATCTTTTTTTCTGGTAAGTAACTTTTGTACCTTTTCCAAAACTGTGTTGTGCATTGGGTTGTCGAAAAAGTCATGGTCTATTTTTTCTGTAGTTCTTTGCAAAAATGTGTCATGACTTTTCCAACAACCCAGTATTTCTTGATTTATTTTCTTCTGTTGATCTAATTGTCTTTTTTATATTTTCCCTTTATTTCATGATAGACTATATGTACCTGAACATGAGAGAGAGAAGCAGAGAGAGAGGTGCTCCTTCCACAGAATCTGGTCACACCATGATTCCTTTCCTTCAGTCCCCTAGTGCATCAGATCCGGGGCACTTGAGCTTGTGCCTGGTAGGTTTCAGGCCAACTGGGTCAGAGACGTAAACTGTGATCTCCATGTGGGATCCAGCTGGTCTTGAGCAGCACCTTACCTCTGTGCCGTGGAACTAGCCATGGAGCTCACCTTTCTTGATGCCAGTACCACATTGTCATGATCAGTTTTTGTAATTTGTCTTGAAATCAAGCAGTATTAAGTCCTCCAACTTCATTCTTTTTCTAAGTCCTTTTTTTTTTTTTTTTCTCTCTAAGTCCTTTTGAAGTCCTTTGCTTTTCTATATTTTATGATCAATTTGTTCAACTTTTTTTTTTTCTACAAAACAGCCTTATGGAATTTGATTGTGCTTCCACCAAATTTAGACAATTGACATCTTGGGATATTAAATTTTCTGACCTATGAACATGGTGCCTTTCACCATTTATTTGTCTTCTTTAATTCAGCAGTGTTTCAAAATTTCTAGTGCACGTGTGTGGTAACTTTTATCAGTTCATATCTTTTGATGCTGTTGTAAAATATATTTTTTCATTTTTTGCTACTAGTGTGTGGAAATACAGTATATAATAGACATTGTATTTTGTTTTTAACTTTATATGCGTGATAGAGAATACACGTGCATGCACAACAAAGGAGGGAACTGGAAAGAAAGAAAGCACCCTCCAGTGGGGCTAGTCATGCTGCAATCCTTTTTCTTCCATTTCTCCATCCTGTCGCACACATAACACATCCTGCATGTTGTCACTAGGGCTGAAATTTGAGCTGTGATTAGCATGTGGGATCTGGACTCTGCTATATAACATTGAACTGCTGCCTCTGTGGGGCCAACCTCTACAGTAGACATTTATAGGCCAGCCATTGGCATGGTATTAAGGCAACTGGATCTCACATGGCTGACTGCACATTCGAGTTACAGACTGGCAGCTTGAGAAATATGCTAGGTGTGTGTGCTCAAAATCTTGAGAGGATGGAGAAGGGATTGTGCCATGACCATACCCTCTGGGGTGGGGGTGAGGATTATCACTTTCTCTCTCTTTTCTTTTATTCTCCCTTCAATGAACACATGTACCTATAGCAAAATTTTTAAAATATGTATATCAGTCTCATAACCTAAAACTTTCCTAAGTTCACTGACTAGTTTTATTAGCTTTTTTTTTTATAGACATTCCTTGGGATTTTTTACATAGATGATCATATTGTCTGTGAACAAAGAGTTTTACTTCATGCCCCAGATTTGAGGGAAAATGCGTTAGATTATATTTAAGCATGGTGTTATCTCTAGGTTTTTGATTTTCTCAGTTGAGGAGTTACTTTTTACTCCTCGTTGACAAAAAATTATTCATTGTAGTTAGGAATATATATTGGATTTTGTTAGATGCTGTTTTTCTGTATCTGTTGAGCTAGTCATATGGTTTTCTAATTCTCTTTATTCAGTTAATTATACTTGATATTTGAGTCCTTGAACCAATTTTGCTTTCCTGGTATAAAACTTGGTCATATCTATTTTTAAAAATGTGTCAGTGAATTTTCTTTGTAAAATTGGTTTGGATTTTTATTTTTTAAATCTAGATTCATGAGGGATATTAAACTAGTTTTCCAATAATTGTTGTGTTTGGGTAGCTGATAATGCTAACATCATAGGGTAAGTTCATAAGTATTCCTCTCCTCTTCAGTATTCTGGAAATGTTTACATAGAAATGATGCTGCCTCAATCTCAAGCATTTGGTAGAATTCACTAGTGAAACATGTTAAACTTATGAGCCATAGTAAGGAGAAAAGAAATTAATTGCAACTACCTAAAAACAAACATAATTATTAGGATTAGCAGGCATAATAATTAAATGGTTATTACGTATGTTTATTGTAACTGTACTTAATATATTCAAAAGTATAGACATGGAGTTGACATAACTGGAACAACACAGGCTCAATAGAATAAGTAAACATAAAACTCAGATATAAATATCTTGGACATTATAATTAACCAGCCTGACCTCATCGATAACTAAACACTCAAACAACAGACACGTGTTCTTTGATGGACATGTAGCAAATTTACCAAAATTGACCACATTGTGGTTCACAAAACAAGTCTAAATAGAAAGGTTCAAATCAAAGCAGGTTTGTTCTCTGACCACAGTGCAATTAAAGTGCTGGAAGCCACACAGTCAGCTACAAGTGCAGATCCCAGATCACTTGAAAATATACTGGGCACATGCACACACACACACATGCTCTGTCTAATAAAATAAAGGAAGACTTGCTATTGTTATAATTACTGGAACATTCTCAAAAACATCCAAAAAGTAAAATAGAAATATCAGGAGGGGGACCAGCAGTTAGTGTAATGGCTATGTCGCTGGACTCCCACTTAGTTGACCGCGGTTCGAGTCCTGGACCTGGTGGCTTAAACTCACACCGGGTGCGTGTGCGTGCGTGCCCAAGATACAAAGAGGAGAATGGAGGAGAAGGGATTGCAGTGTGGCCATCCCCCCTGGGGGGTGATTTCTTGCTCTCTGTCTGTCTGTCTTGGTCTTTCTGGTGAGCGCATGCACCCTATAGCAAAAACCTCTCAAAAAAAAAAAAAGAAAGAAAGAAAGAAATATCAGGAAGTCTGTATTTACTGTGGAGGTTCTGTGGTAAATCTTTTTCCTTACCTTTCCCATCTTTTAGAGCTTACCTGCATTCCTCGGCTCAGGCCCCTTTCTCCATCTTCAGACCAGCTTCAAGGTATCTTCAGATTTGTCTCATATTCTCCTGACTCTTTCTTTCACTTGTAAGGACCTTTTCGATTATGCTGAACCTACTGCGTTAATCCAGGGTAACAGTCTCCCCATCCTTACTTTTCACATATGCAAATTCACTTTTGTTATATAAGGTTACATATTTAGAGTTGAGGGATTAAGACATGGCATTTTTGATGGTCTGTTATTCTGCCTACTGCATTGCTAAAGCAGTACTTAGATGAGAATGTATACTACTATACTGCCTATATTGAGAAAATAAAATTCTCAAATTATTGATCTCAGTTTCTACCTATAGAAACTACTAAAAGAAGTGCAAACTCAAAGAATGTGAGTGGAAATAATGAAGATACAAATAGAAAACAGTAGGGGAAAACAAAAGATAGTTACTGAAAATATCACAATTGAACCTAAATGTGATATCTTACATCAACGATATTTAATGTTAAGGCTGGAAATCTTAAAATATCTAATTGCGGGGACTGGCAGGTGGTATGGTGGTTAAGGACGCTGGAATCCCACTTGACCAATAGCAGTTCGAGTCCCGAACCTGGTGGCTTGTTTTCTCACTCTCTCTGTGTCCCTCTCTGGTTAAATTAAAAATAAAGTTAAGATAAAATAATTCTTTTTCAAAAAAACCTAATTGCATTATAGATGTCTATTTTTAATAAAATTTATGTCTAGACTCCTCATTTTATTATACTTTTTTTTCTTTCTAATGGTAGGCTCTGGGAGACAAGCTTATCACACGATTCAGGTTTCTTGTGAAGAAAGTCATAGAGCAGAAAACATACAAGAGGCATTATTACCAAGCCAATGTACATTTCAAAGGACAACCCTGGAAGATGCTGGAAAACAGTGGTAGACTTACTCTCTAGTGTTTCTTCGGGTTGACATCTCTTAATAACCCATCATTTGTGTATATTTTATCACCTTCTTTATTCCTCCAGTTCATTTACATCTCTGCAAAACTTGTTCTTCTCTTACCTGGTTTCTTCTTTGTGCTGCACTAGTTTCTTAGATAAATCATCACATTTTCTTAGATTCCCAGTAGGATCTGTGAAAGGAAAACAAGTAGGTAGGGGGAGCAACTGAATAGGATCCATAGTCTATAGAAACTCTATGTAGAAGAACAAATTTCTTGAATATAATATAATCAGAATGACTTAGTACCAACTTGTAGGATCTCAAAGTCTAAGGAAAACAGTAAATGATGTAGAGAAATGTCAGAGATGAACAGGAAGGGATTAAAACTAAGTGTTTAGGGTGGGAACTCTTAACTGAAAATTCCGTTATTAGAACTTTCTGTTCTGTTTATGTACACCCTATGGCGATGCGCTTGGGCCTGTCTCCCACCAGTAGTGACTCCATATACCTCTTAAGTCTTCATTGCCTCCTCTTAGTTTTTTTGTCACCTCTGTCCAGAGACCTGAACTCTGGCAACATTGGTCTCAAGTTTTAGAATGAAGATCTCAATGTATTCCAAGAGAATAGAGAGTTAAAGAGAGACTTTGTAACTCAGGGCCAGAAGATCTTCAACTAGGCTGTTCAGTTCAGGAACTCTTAGGCTTTCCTTTCTTATTACCAGATTGTTGGGGTATTGTTGTTTTTGTTTTTCCCTAGATTTTTGCCAAAGGGCATATGTGCTTGCCAGGGAGGAAGGAAAGAAAAAAAAAGAGAATATGAGTAATCAGCCCCCAGGGGGTTGGCCACACTGCAGGCCCTTCTCCTCTAGTCTCCTTTTGGGATTTTGGGCATGCAGGTATGCACGCTGCAGCGTGTTTTTCAAGCTCTTGGGTCTGGGACTTGAACTGTGGAGTTAGCCATGTGGGATCCAGAACCTTAACCACCATGCCACCTGCTGATCTCATGATGACAAAGATATTTATGGTGTAAATATTTTATATGCATTAAGTTCTGTGGTCCCAGACTTGAACTAGAAGTTGGACATGGGAGATCCAGTCTCCTTAACCTCTACACCACCTGCTGGTGTTTTAAATTTGAAAAATGTAATGAACCAGGACTAGCACATGGCATAATAGTTGCATCACTGGACTCCCATGTGGTTGATCATGGTTCAAGTCCTGAACCCAGCAGCTTAAAACTTGTGCCAGGTGCGTGTGCATGCATGCCCAAGATCCTGAGAAGAGAACAGAAGAAAAGGTATTGCAGCGTGGCCATCCCCTCTAGGGGGTGATTTCTCACTCTCTGTTTCTCTATCTTCCTCAGTCTCAGCGAGCGCACGTGCCCTATAGCAAAGATCTCTTCTAAAAAATAAAAAGTTAAATCAGCCAGTTAAATCAGCCTGCCAACCCAGCAAGTTCCTATCCACTAATGTAGAAAAGAAAAAATTTATTATTGAATAAACATTTGGGACCAGCAGTTAGCGTAATGGCTATGTCACTGGACTCCCACGTAGTCCACCGCGGTTCACGTCCTGGACCCGGTGGCTTAAAACTCACGCTGGGCGCGTATGTGTGCGCGCTCAAGATCCTGAGAGGAGAATGGAGGAGAAGGGATTGCTGCATGGCCATCCCCCCTGGGGAGTGATTTTTCGCTTTCTATCTCTATGTCTCTGTCTGTCTGGCGAGCGCCCTATAGCAAAAACCTCTCAAAAAAAAAAAAGGGAAACCTAGACCTGGTGGCTTAATTTCTCACTTTCCCTTTCTCTCTCTCTCTGTCTTTGTTTGGTCAAATTTTAAAAAATAATAATAACATGGAATTAACATGGAATTAACTAAATGATTCTTTAAAAATTTTTTTTTTTAAACTGCAGTAAACATCACAAGAAACACATTAATGAGAATTGTAGACTAAAACAAATCTCACTTTTATATAGCCTAGCCAGGTAGGTCTATAGACAGTTTCTGAGATACTATTATGGTTCAACTTAAAGATTTTTTTTAGTAGCATGAAAGTGATATGCGTTCAGTAGAAACTACTTTGAATTTTGATTTCTTTCCTGGCCTAGTGATATATGTAGTGTCACACACACTCTCAGTGCTATGCAGAACCAATGAGCCACAGCTTCTAGTTATCTAGGCAGTCACTAACTACAGATACTCTGCTGTGCACTGTGTAAACAGATGGTTTTGCCCAACTGTAGACTAATGTGAGTGTTCTGAGCAGGTTTAAGGTAGATAAGGCTAAGGGCCAGCAGGTTACATGGTAGTCAAGGTGCTAGATTCCCCATGGCCAACTGCAGTTTGAGTCCCAGATCTAGAGCCTAGCTTTCTCACTTTCTCTCTCTCTTTGGTGAGTACACATGCCCTGTGGCAAATTTTAAAATAACAATAATAAATAATAAATAAAAAAGGTAGACGAGGCTAGGCCTGGCCTCATGGCCTAGTGGTTAAGAGGCCTGGATCCCATTGCCTGGTGCCAGTGCTGGTGCGTGTGCCCGTTGCCCCAAATCCCAGCAGGATGGAGAAATGGAGGAGAAAGGGATTGTGGTGTGACCATGCCACATTGAGGATGCTTCCACTCTACTCCCCTAACATACATACCCTCTGACAAATTTTTAAAAATAACAGTAAGAAAAATCTTAAGATAGTCTGGCTGAGCCAGCCGGTGGAATGGTGGTTGTGATGCTGGATCTCACAAAGCTTACTATATGGTTTGAGTCCCTGACCCTGTGGCTAAGAAAACATTTAGGGCGCTCTTGTATGTGAATGCCCAGAATCCCAAGAGAAGGGATTTCCGTGCAGCCATCCCCCAGGGGTGCTTTTCCACTTTCTCTCTCCTCTATTACCAGCACCACCATCACCACCCTCCCCTGCAACAAGTGCACATGCCCTGTAGAAAGTTTAAATAAAAAATAGTGTAGGCTAAGCCATGGCATTTAGTAGGTTAGGTGTATTAAATACATTATCAACATACAGTATTTTTAGTTTACTATGGATTTACTGAGATGTAGCCCCATCATAAATCAAGGAGCATCTATAATTCATTACATATGTATTAATATAAGCTCTCATGTAACAGGACTTTGCCAGCACCATTTGCTCTACCTAATTTTCCTGGTAACCTCAGTGACCGTCCTTGATGCTTAATTGCCTTTCTCCAAATGGAAAAATAAAAATTCTAACTTTCTGAGGAGCAGGTGATTACAGGAACCTGCAGCCTAGGTGGAATTCCCATGAAGACAGACCGGGCTTTACTTTCCTTGAGGCAGAGATGGCTCTTAGGCTCCTAAGAAAAATATCCTGGACCAGCAGGTGGCATGGTAATAGAGGCACTGAATTCTCACATGGCCAAACATGATCAGAGTCCCAAACCTGGTGGCTTAAAAGTCACATCAGGCGGGTGTGCATGCATGCTTGGAATCCCAGGAAGAGAAGGAATTGCAGCACGGTCATCCTCTCCTGGTGATTTCTCACTTTATCTCTGTCTCTCTTTTCCCCCAGTGAAACCACTTGCCCTATGACTAAAACCTTAATACAAAAAAAAATAAATAAAAATAAAAACATTCCTGAGCTACAATGCTAGTGAGAGGCTTATTTAAAAAATATTTATGTATAAAAGAAACAGGAAGGATTTACCGTGACAGGTTTTCACTAGTCAAAGACCTGAGAAAAGGGAGAGAAAAAGGTCCCTTTTGGCTCCAGGAATAATTGAAAAAAAAATTAAAAATCCCATTCAACTTTGGCGCCTATCTGATGAGTGCAGAAATAAAGAAGAAATTATCTCACAAAGAAAAGCAATATTAAGTTTACCGACATGGCATCTTCATTAAAAATTGCTTTCTGATTTATATTGTATAGCTAATAGAGTACCTTGGGATTAAAAGGTTATCTGTCATATGTAATCACCACATTTTCTTGTAACCTATGTGGAATTATGATTGTACTTTCTTTTGTTCAAAATTAATAAGCTTTAAGAACTCCATGAGTTCTCGAGATCCTCTGGAGATCAAAATTATATACAAAGTTTTAATGTTCGTAGTAAAATTAACATAACGTTATGAATGTATTCTTATAAAGAGTAGTCCTAAAATCCAGAACATAAGGTCTCCACTTGAATCAATCCTACAAGGTGAAACAAGATTGAAACAGTGAATGACAATCAACTTAAAAAGTTTGACTTTTTTTATTTCTCCCAATAATAAGTTACTGTTATAAACCTTGAAGCACCGAGACAAGCTACCTATTGTTCAAATGGGTACTTGGAATATTAGCATTAAACCTTTCCTCATTTTTTTCCAGGTTTTTAATTTTTTTTCTTTTTCTTATTTATTTATTTATTTTGGGGGAGGAGAGGTTTTTGTTATAGGGCATGTGGGCTCACCAAAAAGACAGAAACACAGACAGAAAGTGAGAAACCAACCTCCCCCCTCCCCGGGGTGGGGGGAAGGCCACGCCGCAATCCCTTCTCCTCCATTCTCCTCTCAGGATCTTGGGCACGCACGCACACGCACCCGGCATGAGTTTTAAGCCACTGAGTCCTGGACACGAACCGTGGTCGACAACTATATGGGAGTTCAGAGACATCGCCATTAGGCTAACTGCTGGTCCCTTTCTTCCAGTTTTTACATAAATATTTTACCTGGTTATAAATGTAGTATAGGTTTAATTTTATACTTTGCCTTTTGTTCTTTTTTAATGTTAACCAATCTCTTTTTAAAATTTCTCAATCTCACTAGCCTGCAGCCAAATCCCTGCTAAGAAAAGTAGCTCATAAAAATCTGAGTAGTGCATAAATTGATTTTTTTGAGACCTCGGTTTTGACCCTTGCTGTCTTCAGGTTTCCAGAGATCTAGCCATGTCTTTGTATTTTGAATATGTTAGGAGACATTTGAATCAAGTAGAACAGGTTTATTTTGGTTTTGTTTTGTTTTGTTGCTGCTGGGGGGGAGAGGGGGAGTGAGAAATCACCATAGGACATGGTCATGTTGTAATCTCTTCTCCTTCATCTCTTTTCTTTCATGATTTTGGGCATGTATGCACAATCGCCAAGCATACTTTCAAGTTGCTGGGTCTGGTTTTTGAACTACCCTGTCAGTTTTGCCGGATCCAGTCACCCTAACCACCACACCACTAACTGGCCCAATAGAAGAGA